TCATCTAGTTGTTCAAATGCATGTTCTATAGATTTGGGTTCCTCATTTTTTTGGAGCTCTTTTTGCCGCCAGAGCCACAGCATTGTTTTCCACTTCGATTTGAGATTCCTCAGCTGAAACCAGTCTACTTTGTTCGTAGTCGTTATCATTCCAAATGGTTATAATTATGCCGTGGGGTGCGGATAAACCATATCTCTCAATAGGCTTTGTTGACTGCTTCGGCCAGCTACGGATTGATAATGTTTCTTGAGTGTGATTCTCTGATGTTTCAAGCTGTGCTAGTTGCTGTAAATTCTGTTCGGAATCATGCTTATTTTGTGGCTCTGTTAGATATAAGGACGAGGTGCTATCTATATATGGTGAAGATTTAATTGGTTGTGATGAAAATTTGGGCGGAAGTGTTGGGTGGAATGACGTTGATTCGATGTTTTTGTCTCAAAATTGGATTGGCTTGTGGTCTCAAAGGGTGAGTCGCTTCCCCGGAATTGAGCGGCGCAAACTTGACTTTGGGAGATTCTACCACCTTGTGCTTAGAGGGGATCCATATTCGGAATATTTTTGTGCTCTCTGTGTAGCCCATAAAATTTCCTTCAATTGTCTTTGGTAATAGCTTTAAACCTGAGGGTCACGAGTCCTTGTGTATGTAAATAAAGCATTTTCTGCTGAAGAGTTGAAGGTGGTTGATTGTGGTTTGTTGCCTTGTAAGGCCTCATATGGCGTAGTATTATGAGGTAGCCGTGAATGAGGAAGGCGATTTTTAAGATAGCTGGCAGTTGATACGGCTTCTGCCCAAAAATTAAGGCTTAAATCTGCTATCATTGTTCTGACTATTGTAGTTAACGTTAAGTTAAATAGCTCAGCGAGTCCGCTTCTCTCATGTTCGTAAGGTGGTAAAAGTTTATGAATTATTTTATCGACTTTAAAATTATTGTCGGCTTTATAAATGCACATCTATTATCACAGACATTGGAAATAATTCATGAAATTGCTTAATAAGAGGCTAGGATTGATTCCAATATAATTTGGTAGAAGATTTGTCCCAATTATCAGAGGGCTACAACGTCTTTATCTATCTAATAAACCATACCAAACCGAAACTGTTCACAACCCTGATTATGACCCCATGATTATTTGTAATAGTAGCCTGCAATATGGCACAATTAGGCTAGACATCATTCGTCAGGACCTAATCCGAACACTATTTCTTCACATTTCAAGAACAAGTTCATAGCTTTATTCACGAATTCTCTCCCGTTGTCAATCCTCCATCGCTTGATCTTTGTATTGAATTGTCTATGGATAATTTTGGCAAAGTCAATGATAGCTTCGGCGGCTTGATCTTTATTCCGTAAAAATCTAACTCAGGAGAATCATGTTTTTCCATCAATGAAGGTGATGTAGTAATATTTGATATTTGAAGAGAGAATAGAGAATTTTCCGGAAAGATCTGAGTGAAGAATTTCAAAAACGTTACAGGGATCCTCACGGATTAGATCGGAAACAATATGCTTGGACTTAGCTTTTTTGCATGCGGGACAGTGAAAGGTCTGGGTTAGTGAAGGAAAGTTGTGACTGTCTGTATATAGTTGAGAAGGGTCTCTGATGTTCGTTACACCGGGGTGTCTTAAAGCTTCGTAAAATTCACAATAAGAGGAGAAACGAGCTTTTATTTCTTCTAACATGATTACAATTGATCTTTCCCTTGCTGTCGCTCACAGAACCTCTTGCCCATTTTTCATCCCTTGTATGTGAATTGTTGCCTTAAGAAAACAATTCATACCTCATCTCCCTTAATTTTTCCCATGAAAACAACCTAGTATGTCGAAAATAGGGCATCAGAAGAACATTGTGTAGAAGGATATTTCGCGATCATCCGCCGCTGCTTAGAGCGCGGAGACGAGCGGTACCTTTGCCAGTGACTGGGGTGTATTTGTTATTGACGACTTGTACAGTTTTATTTCGTAGGGGTGTAAATGATTCAAAGTCGTCGATGCTGCCAGTCATGTGAGTGGTAGTACCTTTATCAATGATCCATTCTTTTCGAGTGGATGAAGAAGAGTTGGCCATGAAAGCCCTGTCAGAAAGTTCGTCATCTAGTTCTGAAACTCTTTTTGCATTTCCATTTTTTGAAGCACTCGTCTTCTGTGCCTTGGCTTCCTCCTGTTGCTTTTTATGTTTATTAAGTTTGAAACAATTCTTGTAGGTATGCCCCTTGTGGTTAAATTCTTGTTTTTCCACCATGAAAATTCTGTTGACTCTTAGGTCAATGTGTGATAAGCTTTGCTATCAGCTTCACCGACGTTTCTATCAGCGGAGAAATCCAATAGCTTTGATTGTATATCCTGATATTTGATCAAGTCTTTTGTCGCTAGGTTGTTGACGATGTTGTCCATGGATTTGGGAAGTGAGAGTAACAAGAACGCGCCTTTGACTTCATCAGATGAGGTAACATCTCGAAATGCTTGTGCAACGCTGGATTTGGAGGTTAAGGGACCTTTGGCAAAGACGATCCCATGCGTTGGTGAAGTTATTTCGGTGGTCGGCTACGTTCTCATTTTCTTGAAGTTCGAGGTCGACAATGTTTCGCAGTAAAGACAGGGTTGTTGATAGTGTTTTCCTGTCGAAGCGAGCCTTAATGTTGGCCCAAGCATCTCTGGCAGTTTGCTCGCTGGTGATCATTTTCCGCAAGGAACAATCGACGGCAGACACCAGATATCCCCTGAGCAGTTTGTTCGCAGTATTACACTCTTCCCAGTCGGGGGAAATCCTCCCTAGTTTAGTGACTTCTCCAGTTAGTACTTCCTTCAGATCCATCATGTCAAATCCTATTCCACAGGCTCTGGCCCAAACTTGATAGTTTTCACTACCACTTAAGACGGGATTATTATGCAGATTGGCTGTTGTGACGCCTTTGATAGTAAAGGCCCACCGAATGGTTTTTTCTCTTCGTTGGACTTGATTGTGATGCTTGATGGATGGAAGAAAGTTGGTTGATTTAGGAAGTTTTTTGGTGGATGCGAGATTTGTTTGCAGGCTTAAGGCCACCGGGCTCATAACCTATTGAAGGGTGGTGATGTATATGGTAGTATACAGATGGTATCCTCGATTGAATGGTTGTGACTACTCAGGTGGCTTAGAATATACTTGGTTATGGCAATAAATGTTATGTTATGTTACAGATTATTTACATGATAATTAACCAATCCCACATACATCCAGATAGCGCTGTAGCTTGTCTCTTTCAGGAGTGATCTACGGGTGAGTGTAGCAATCAGTGATATCTAACTTATCATTAACCAGTTTCTGTTTCCCTGGCTCTGCATGCTTCAAGACGTAGATGACGATTTGCTACTAATGTGAAAAGCGCATTCATAACACCATCCCCACATCAGCGGCGCCACCACCGGGGCCAACTCTTCGGACACATCGACGACCGAGTGAGGAGGTGCTTTCTATTTTTAATTTCTCTTAACGTTAGTCTGATTGAAGGTGGAGTTAACGAATTCAGGGGAAAGTTTATATTATTGTGGTTGAAAGAAACGGCCTCAGCATCAAGCCGGGTCGGTTCAGAGTGGCAGGACATCGGATTTTGTTTTTTGAAAAGTTTTTCCCTTACCAAAGCGGCTTACCGTCTTCATGAGTCTGTACATAGATACCGCATAGGACGTTAAACTAGAGAAATTCAATTCAATAATAGGTATATTTTAGAAGCTCTGTATTCCTACAGGGTAGTGGCCAGACCCAAATGAGGCGATAAATGATTTATACACCATTCCTAAGATGTTTATTTTATTTACACTATTTTTAGACGTATTCATTAAACAATTGCGACGTAGGCTGTTTATTAATCTCATACTATGTTTTGAATAATTATCCCAAGTTGATACAAACAGGTCTGAATTCGAAATATTTAGGTTTTTTTGATAGAGTTATGGTTGAATTATGGCAAAAGTTTTTTCCCAAAATCAGTGTGAAATCTTGATTTAACAAGGCAGAGTTCACATTCTCAGAGCAGCTATATCTTACTAACCGTGATGATGAAAGCTTCAACGGATCAAGACATTTCGTATGGATAACGGCGACTAGCCTGCCTCCGTTGCCAGAGAGGCTGTCATAGAATTTAAGAAGACTTTGCAGAGTATCGACATGAGATAGTTGCCAATAAGAAATTTGGGATAGCGGTACAAGCTGTTATTATGCTTATTGATTTCCTTATTGTGTCGAGTAAGAAATCTAAATTATTTTACGACGTAATCGTAAGAAGAAGGATGTAGAGAGCTGATTCGTAAAGTGATTAGTACGTTTTGCTTTTAGGTTTCTTCAAAATTCATAACAAAATTTTTAATGTTAGCTAGTTATTTATCGATTCACTGCATTATCTATGCTGGGAAATCCCACAGTATAGGAGAGCATTGCACTTGTATCCCAACTCACTTACTGCAACTAGCAGCCTTGCCTAAAGATTAAGAAATGCTTCTGTCTTAGTAGATCTATGTGATAATCTGAGTTGATATTTCCCAGATATCTTTTTCGTTCGCCAATGATTTTGAGGCCAAATGAATTTTGTTTTGATCTTCGTGGCACCCTTTCAATCGTCTGTATAAGTGTAATCCAGCTTTCAAGAAATTTTGACTCTAGGTACGGACAGCAGTAGCAATATAATATGCACTTTGCTTCGAGGCAGCCGTTCAGATGTTCGTAGTTGGTGGTTGATGGATAGATATATCTCGAGCATGGCTTATTGTTAGCTATGCCTGCTTAAATTCTTAACAGTGGTAGGAAAGTGTTGTAAGACCCCAAGATTTTTTCGGGATGTGTAGGCCGACTTGATCTGTAGTGAGATATAGAGTGAAGCTATTTTTCTGTAATGATTTGCAAGCATTGCTCTTTAGGCAAGGTGCCAAGTATTCCAATCAAACTTCCAAACTTAATCTATAGACCTGGCGCACTGTGATCAGCTCCAAATCAGAAATCTAATACTCCCACTGTAGACGATGGTTTCAAGCTAGACTCTGATCAGGCACCCAAAATACAACTTCTTTGTCGGCCGTCGCGAAAAAGTGTAATCTAGGGTTAAAGGCAATGACGGCGGTGTCACCCTTGTATACTAGTTCATGAGTGGGTGTCATGTACTTTTCGAGATAGGGGGCCATAGTGTCCCATATCAAGATGTTATGCTGCCTTGAGCCACTGAGCACATATCGACCATCCGGAGTAAAACATGCATCTCCGGTGCTGGGGTACAGATAGCTGGCTGCCTGAGGATCAAGACCTTCGGGATTTTTGTCGCCTGCTCCAAGTCTTGCAACTCCACTACGCTCACGACGTAATGAAGCTTTGAGGGTCCCGTCAAAAGCATCCAATAAAAAGTGGCTTTTTCCATTCGTACTAAGTAAAAGTGATTTTCCGTCATTGGAAAACTCGAGACTGTTCCAACTCTTGCTGATATTTTTTGTTATTTCCGGAGTATAGTGAGGAAGCATATCAAAAGATGCAAAGGGTTCCTTGTCAAAATTTCGAAAATCGTATAGAAGGATAGTGTGTGCTGTAGGTGAGGCAACAGCAAATACGTTCCCCGAGGGATCCCAGGCTGCCAAGTAGGCCCCATTTAGTTTAAGTTTACCACAGCAATTTTTACTTCCGGCCTCCCAAACACGTAGGGTATTGTCTTCAGAACACGATATGAAATTATCCTGGCCAGGGTGGAGGGCTAGACAAGTGACATTCTTTTCATGCCCTTCGAAGTAGCGGAGATACGAATTATCGTGGGTAGAGAGGTATCGTATAGTATCTTGGAACATTAAGCTCGAGAAAAATTAGTGGATCGGTGTAAAGATAACCTACTATTTAATTTAGTACTTGAGTGTATAATACATCCAGAAGCGTGTGCAAACATGGCGTGGCCAACGCCGTATTTTTGGCTTAGAAGTGTTTTGCTGTGTTTTCCTTCCCGAACGTTGTAAATTTGCATACTGCTGTCACTCTCCGAAGTCAGAAGAAGACTGCCTTCATTGTCAAAATCCAGAGATTGTATTGTGGTCGGAGTCGTGGCGGGAACTCGGGGACCGTGATGACCAGGCTCGCGTCGAAAATGCTAAATAATCATGTTAGTCAATGTAATATGCCTTTAAATTTCAATATCTCCATACTTTGGCTGGTCGATATAGCGAAATCATGTCCGAGACCATGGCAGTTGGCTGTAAACCAATTCCTTTCCCTCCCCCAAGTGGTCCCATAGGGGATTCAACTAGGATAGAGGATGTCATCTCAGTTATGTGTTAGAGGATTCTATAACAATCTCTTTTCGAACTCGATGGCTGTATGCTCTAGGATGAGGTTATTCGGGCAAATTATCCAACGGCCTAAGACCCCTATCAATCCGCAAGAACCATTTTCCGCGCGGGATATCATATTCAGAGTTTCGCAGGTTCGATCAACAACATTACTTCTAGCGCAAAAGATTCAGAAATTAAATACGCAACCTTTTTCATGAGACTTATCCATTTGTGACGCGTCAGCTGACCCTCATAGAGGGATTTTGCTGAGTAGTGCAATATGACTACCTTGCCTGGGTAAGATGAGCTCGGATAAAATATTGAGGACGTCACTAAATGAGACAGTGCATTTGTTGCAGGTGGAATAGCGGCATGTGGAGCAGTGACCATAAGTCATCCCTTCGAGACAGTCAAGATTCGGTGCACAAAGCCTCACTGTGCAATATGCTTCTTCTAACTTGATTTTAGCATGCAACTCCAAGGCGAGTTAATGAAGAAAGGTCTACAACCACGGTTATACAGAGGTCCATTTCTCGGGATCCACGCAATTATCAGGAATGAAGGCGTCCGTGGCATCTACCGAGGGCTTGGCGCCGCATACATATATCAAATGATTCTGAATGGGTGCCGCCTTGGCTGTTATGAACCTGTCCGGCAAACTCTTACCACGGCGATATGTACTGACTCGCAAACGCAAAATATGAGCATTAACGTTATATCTGGTGCTTCCTCTGGAGTTATGGGCGCCGCGGTTGGTAGTCCGTACTTTCTAATCAAGACTAGACTTCAAAGTTTCTCCCAGTCATCACCTGTAGGTACACAGCACAACTACAAAAGCACCTTAGATGGGATGAGGCAGATTTATAGTTTAGAGGGAGCTTATGGACTGTGTAGAGGGATAAACGCAGCCATGATACGAACAGGATTTGGAAGCTCTGTTCAACTACCAACCTATTTCGCGGTTAAAAGGAGACTTGTCATTCATCTAGGAATGGTTGATGGACCTGCATTACACTTATCAAGTAGCACTGCTAGTGGGTTCACCGTATGCTGTGTCATGCATCCTACAGGTATGTTAACACCTGAATCGAACGTGCATAGCTCACATTTTTTCAGACACAATTATGTCCAGAATGTATAATCAAAATGGTGACCTTTACAAAGGAGTTATTGACTGCTTTGCGAAAACAGTCAAAACTGAAGGTCTGTTGGCTATCTACAAGGGTTTTCTGCCCCACTTGGCAAGAGTTTTACCTCATACCATCTTAACCCTTAGTTTGGCTGAGCAGACAATAAAATTAGTGCGCCGAATAGAGTACCAATTGAGATTTACAACAAGCTGATACTTTGAGCTGGCATTGCCAATTTATCCTTGTTTCCAAGTTCGAGGGCTATCCAACTCATCTCAGCATACAGCAGTGAAGCGTTTCTGCTGTCATAGGTGAGATATGAAGCGTAGAAATTTTCTAATTAAATGTTACTGACTAAATTAAAGCACCCACGGCAGAAGGTAGACACATGTTTTGGTAATTGTATAGTCTGGTGAGATGAGGATATCTCACTATCGCATGAGAAAGTACCCAATTTATCATCAAATGGGAGTCCACACAAGCCACAGGGAGTTGAATTCTGGCTGGACACTGCTCGAAGTTTACCGCATGTCCTTACAACGTTTGCTACAATGCTAGGGTAATTCGATCCCACAGACTCGAAGTACTGTGACATTAAATCGTTAATGGTAGATGATTTTTCGCAAGCAGACATGAGAGTTATTTCGTCCCGGCTTATCAAATCATCCAGCGGTGGTGTTGCTAGCAGAGAAAAAGCAATGATTTCTTTTTTATGGAGATCTCTGAGAGGGTACTTGCAACTGATACCGAGTGGTGATAAGCCATCTGAGACTTGCCATTGGAGTGAACATCCATTGCCTCTGGCAATAACAGTTAAGGCCTTTTCGGCGAGTTTTGTGATTGAATCTCCGAAAAGGACAGTGTCACAGTTATTTTTCCGTCCAAAGGAAACTAAAAGTCGGACAAACAAAATTGATACCATTTCAGCACGTGACGTCGGCGACACAATTGATCCAATCATCTGAGAAAGCTTGTCATCAGGTGATATTTGGCCTGTGGTCTTTGGTAACAAAAACGTGTCAATAGAACCCCAGTCGATGTCCTCGACCTGCAGAGATTCTTCTAGATTAATAATTCTAAAACTGTGCCGAGGAAACCGAGATTGGAATTCATGTAACCGCTTGATAGAATTTTCCTTATCCTTTAAAGTTGTAAATAGATTGATATGAACTACAATTAGCTCATATGTCGCTCGATTCATTCTATCATATTGACCCTGAAGATGATCATCTAGGATGTAGAGAAGTGATGTCGAGCAGGGACCAAAGGAAAGAGGTAGCAGCAGCTTTTTGGATGTCTGAGTTTTAGGCCCACGTTGTCGATAGGTTTCCATTCTTTTGATGGCCTTCGTAGTGACATACACAGAGAAACATTGCCTATTATGATTAGCTTATTTTGAGGCCAATTGTTGGTACATAAGCTTCACGTACGCGCAAACCTCCTCTGTGCGCAACTTGTGATTCGCAGGATTTTGTTTGCATCGTTCACAAATTGTATGTGTCGTGGAAATTAATGCTACGGGGGTGTCCATTGTGATAGGAATCCGGAGAACCAATTTTAGGTATATGAAGGAGCTGACGAGGCTAAATTTCAGCCTCGGACCAAGTGCTCGTCGTACCCTTGCAGCTCGAACCTTAACGAACCAACTACGTATGAGAACATAATTAATTACTATATTATCGCTACCCAGAGACCTATTCATTTCTACCAGATCCGCCGCCAATTTTCCAGGGGGTCTCTGGAATATTGGGTATCATTCTTGATGGTTAACTTACAACGAAATAACCAGTATCCTTCTTCAGACAAGCTCTGATCAGCCCTGTGGCTTCAAGCAATGATGAAGAGCTGGTTTTACAGTCTCGCACTGCTATGGTCTGCAGCAAGTGCCATGAAAATAAATCTGGTATTATTCTTCATTGACATATTTTCTCAACTCTAACGGAATATCCAGGAGCAGTCAAACGAAAATCGTCAAATATGCGCCGGGATGTATAGTAGATCAGCCTGGGGAGGCACCGTTGACCCTTACATTCAAGTCAATTTTTCGAAGAATAATGCCACTGATGAAACAGATGTAATGGCAAGCATGATTGTTTTCGAGTGGAATGACTATGACTATATCGGTATTAAGCCAACGACAGAGTCTCCTATGGTTTGTCTTGTTTGTTGTATCTTTATGACAAGTAAAGCTGAAATCCGCATAGAAAGAATATCTCTGCAATGAGCATGCTATCAGTTTGAAATACTGCAATGAGACCCAAACAGGAGAATTCATACTGGTCCAAAATGCCACAAAACTCTCAAGAAATCCAATCTTTACACAGGCTATGAACATAAGCGATCCAGGGCCTCCTATAAAGTATGATATTAAGAGGACCGGATATTACTGCGTAGGAATGACGCCATTCCATCCCCCGACCCTAAAGTTCGCAGCATCAGTTGAGTTTCGGAATGCCTACGGCGAGCTTCCAGGTGCCCAAATTGCGAAACTTTCTTTCTACGGCGGAATAACCATTGTGTACGTGGTTGTTGGAGCGTAAGCGAACATGCCGTATAATACCTAGGCGCGGACTAAATTGACAACAGATTCTGGGCCTTTCTCTATGTTCAGCATAGACAAGATATCTGTTGGTATTTGAATTCAGACACAGAACCCACATGCTGATTGCTCACTAGTGCCTGTACAAAACTATATAACAGCTATAATCATATTTCTTATAGTCGAGATGTTGATGACATGGGGATTTTATGGTACGATTAAATTTCCGTGAATAATTATGATGAACCTGACTTCTCTAGACTTTATGAATCGCAATGGATCTAGCCTCGGCTCGAAAATTTTGTTAATAATTGTTGCCATATTAAACGCTGGTCGAAATTCTTTTTCTTTTTTCCTACTCCTGATTGTCTGTATGGGCTACGGTGTAGTCAAGGACAGTTTAGGAAAGACAATGATTTATGTTCGTTGGCTAGCAGGTGTTCATTTCCTATTTAGTTTGATTTACGCTATAATAAGCTTGACCCTTGCTCCCGAAAGCGTTGGTAAGTAATTCTGCAATTTCTGCAATTTCTACGGTATCGTTACTCACGCTAGACAGGTCCTCTAGTACTTTTAGTCATCTTACCGCTCGCCGGGTCATTAACAACGTTCTACATATGGACGTTGAATTCCTTGAACTACACCATGAAAGACCTAACTGAGCGAAAGCAGAATGTCAAGGCATTAATGTATCGAAAACTTTGGTGGGCTATCCTTGCATCTATTATAGTCATATTTGGCTTCTTCTTTTTCAACTCTTTCACTTTTGCCGCAAGAGGAGATCCAGACTTTGTACCTTTCCATTGGAAAACACGATGGTTTATACTTGATGGATGGCTCAATCTAGTATACCTAGGTGATGTCATATTTATCGCATATCTTTGGAGGCCGACAGAGAACAACAAGAGGTTCGCCATGAGCGATGAATTGGCTCAAGACGATGAAGGCTTTGAAATAGCTGATTTTGGAGCCGATGACGACGGCGATGATTTCGATGATTCATCAATTCATAAAGGGTCCCAGCATCAAACTAGACAGGAAGGTCCGAGATACGATCCAGCTCCCAGCTCTCGAACAAGAAAGCCTGTAAAAGATATCGTGCGAGAAAGTATGGAAGGAGAGACCATTTTTGCTGTTGGGGACGATGTTGATCGATGGTCTGATGAAGAGAGCCTTGAAGAGCAAGTGAAATTGGTCGGCAAGCCTCCCAAGACTTCATAAGTTACTAATAACGAATGATGTGCGCCGTGTATACTTGTTTTTAGAGGCTTGGAATAACTAATAGCAGCTTATGTATCAAATATCAACACATTCATTTAAACAATCGCAATTCGTCTCGGTATTCAAGTGGTAAAAAGGTTGTGTGAAGCCTTGAAAATCTTGTAATCTGTATTTGCTGTGATAATAGGGGTGTTCTAAAGCAGCTCTGTGAATGCTAAATATCTAACGACGCAGAATAAAATGTAACGAGCTATCTTGGATGAGGCCATTCCTAATGCGGATCCAACCGACCCAAAAATCTCAATATGATTGGAAAATATAACAGGTATAAATTAGATTGATGTGAGTATTCACGGACAAAGGCTCTGGTATATACATCGGTTGGATGAAATCTTAAGTTAACAATCTAGCCTCTCGATTGCTTGCCGATCCGGCGGGCACTTTCGTATCACATCATGTAGACCGAATGCATCTAACGCTCATGCTTCTGGTAAACTAATCAGGCTACCATTTCAAGCACACCGACGTTAACCGAGCGGTCTCAAAATCGCACAGAGACGCACTTAGGGAAAGTGAAAGCGTCGCTGGAGGCACTCAACTTTACATGTCAAGTCTTGCTTGCTTGCTAAAATGATAATTATTTTTTCCCAATCCTTGACTATATTGGACATGCACATGCTTTCTGTTGTAAAGTCACTAATCACATAAGTACTTGGTTATAATCCATGTTATGTATCCCATAGGGCTAATGAGGAGGAAAAAGATTAGTGATAAATTAGATATCACCGATCGCTTCGTTCGCCTGCAGAGCACTCCTAATAGGGGCTAGTTGCGGAGCTATATGGGAACAAGTATGTGTTTGTTGTCCTATAAAGTCTGACTATGAAAGGACGAGTAGGCCCATTCTGCCTACAGGCCGGGAGAAGCTTTGCCACGAGCAATGTACCGCCACTATGCCTCCTTTGCGACTTATTTCTAGCAGTAATACTCTCACAGGTCTTCATCGAGTACACACAAAGAGGAGCCGATATCCCGTCATTATCTCATCTCTCCAGCCGACAAAAAGATAACCAGTTGCGGATGTGTAGCTGCAGGGAAAAGTCTCAAAAACCACTGGGTGCGGGGCTCTCCTATGACGAAGAGGCCGGCCAGCCGGGCGTAGCAGACCTGTGTATACCTGAGAGCGTCTCTCAACCTTCCTAGACTCCTCCTTACTCCTCCCCTGATTCATGCCGCAGGACAAATCGTAGGCCGTGAAAGGATGTCAGAAAAATCTTGGTCGAGAGTGACAGTCGTGAAGAAGCCTAGCCTAGCATCCAAAAGTCGTTATGGACGTGGGGTCGTCGAGTAACTGATGTATTTCAGATGCCCTCTTGGCTAGTACATTCGGATGTTATGATTAGTAGGGACTATACTATTGACGAGTCGAAATCTGCTTTTCTTGATGATTGAAGAATATTTTGCTTTTGTGGGCTTTTTATTTGCCTGCCATTGGGTAGCACATGTTGTGATATGACGAGTGCTTCTCTGAACAACGTCGCAGCGTTTGGTACCACCCTATCTTTCTTCATTCCCAGCATCGTTATCGTCGTCTTGGTCGTCTTATGTGTTATTGGAAGCGTATCTTAGACGGAGGGAGAGATCACTCAGCTCAAAGTTGGGGGGACTATCCCCAACATTTGTCAGTTGTGTCCCCTACAAACCTCCTGCTCTCATTGTAGAGTCCGCACAGCCGAGATTGAGTTACACAGTCCTCCCTTCGAGAATTCCCAATTGCTTTTGCCGCCTGTATCGTCTTCATCTCTCACAAATTCCCTTATCACCACCATCATGGAACTAACCACGATCGGATTAGATGTCAGGGTCGAAACCCTTCTCATCCACCACTCTTGATCATCGAGAAACCATCCGACGAGTTTCCGGAGCATACCCAGCACTCGATACGGACATGGTGGATTGGATCAAGTCGACCTCGACTGTTACAAAGAAGGGAGACATAGATGAATATGCGCACCTCATGTGGTCCCGGTGTCTAGGCCTCGCCTGGCTAGGGCTGCAGGTTTTTTGAGACTATTTCCCGCGCATGCAGTTTCCACAGTTCCTATTTTTTTTTTTTGGCAGAAGGTTCCATGGTAAATGTGGCAGAATTCCACGGGTAAACACTGAACTGAATGGCTATTCATCACGGCCAATATATCGATCATCTTACAACAAAAGAGGATAGGAGCACTGTACAAGTTGTAGCCTGGGCCAGAAAGGAGCCCAATGTGCTAGATAGTCATAGGCTTAACTCGTATAATAAACAAACCTCTCTCTCAGCTCAAAGGTGAAGAGGTGTTACACAATTTCGGCTCTGCAGGCTCTACAGTGATAGCTGGAGGTTCGTTGGGGATACCACTTACAGGTGTTGAGAATAGTCCCCTAGTAAAAATTATATTTTATTTTCATACATGAAGGAAACTTAGTTGAGAGAAGGAACGGAGCTTGAGACTTTCATATACCCTGCTCCAGACTTATTGTACTGTTCACAGCCTAGTCTCACAGCATTCCCCCGTGATATAATTCCTATGCTAGGAGAAATGACCATCTCGCTCTCACTGAGTCCATCAGTCTCTGTCTCATTTCATTATGACTATTCTGTTGAGTTTTAGTTGGGACCTCTTTATCCACGCACGCATCACGCTAAACACCTCACGGTTTAGTTACACAGTCACGCGCATCTACTACAGTCTCTTATGGATGGAAATTGTATAACTGTCAAAATGATTGGGGTTAGATTCCTGTACATATTGATCTGATTTGTTTGGTCTCCTATAGGCCCATGTCTAGTTCGCCCACTAGTCAAGGATGCAAGGGGTACTATCCAATGATATTCCGTGAGAGTCTAAATTATGGGGACGGCTTTCAATACCAAAACAAATGTACAATGATCCTCATTTAAAGTTCAAAATTTAAAAAAATCAATTGATATTATCTAAAAATACACATCTATTTCAAAAATTATTGCCCTGTATTACAAAAGTATACATCGAAGCCCTGGGTATGGCTCGCAACTAAAATGAAAGCGTACTTCATGTTTTGTATAATTCTGCTCCATCCTAATGCTTTGTGTACCCTCCATTTTCCTTTATCGCCGCTATACATCTTTCGTCCATGTTCACCTCACGTAACGGAGGCTTCTTCCGAGCAATACATCTGCCGTAGCCTAATTTATTGAGGGCATTTGAAAATTAATGCTCATTGCATCCCCAGTGGCTGAAGGGTCCCATCGCTAGTTCCAAAAAGCACATCTGACGATTTTCCGGAGATTCCCGCACGAAAGCCTCAAGCTCATCGACTCGTTCCGCGCTTAATTTTGGTAAGGGTCCTTTGCGAGGTGTAGGATTCTCAGTCTCTCGAGCACACGCAAGTTGCACTTGCCATCTTGCGAAGCCAAGTTCGTCGGATGTAAGTTGTAATCTCAAGCCAAGTCTTCTTAATGTTCTTATTTCAATACATTGATCTCGAGTTGGATGGTTGCGAGCTTTGGTTTTGAAGCATACTCTCGGAGAGACATTGTTTGCTAGAAAAGAGGATTAATTGATTGTAATGTTAAGTTTCAAGGACTGTGTAGGTTAGGCAGCCAAAAGTGTCGTTGAAAATGTGTTTTTCGAACCGACTGTTAGAAGGAACCGATTGAACCATCCAGTCTCTCTGGGATAGAAAAGGTTACACTTGAAACTAGGCTGTTTAAGGGATCAGCCCTGCAGACGCAGCTGAGCTAGCTCTTAATAGGTTAGACCGTCTCTCCTCATTACCACGCTCGCCAGAAATGAGGTCCAGCCGTCCTTTCCAAGCAATCGGTTTAGAGGGCAAGACTGAACATCTGTCCGCGATGTCCTCTACAAATCTGGGAGTGAAATATTCTCCCAGAGCCCAGATCCAGTCACGAAAAAGGGTGGGATGAATTCTATTTGATGGACTTTCGACTTGAAGGAGTTGCACTCGATATTTTGGTCGAAAAATCAGTCGGCAGAGATTTCACAGCCGGAACAAATTTGAACAAAAACTCATCAGCACCAACATACGATTCACGAACGGGCATAGTTCTGTTTGAGGGTCATATTCATACAACTGACATCTCTCAAAATCCTTATATATTTGCGACGATCCATTTCTCAGCCGATTCTACACCTGCGACCTACCTACATATGCACGCCCTAATGAGGAAAGTCATGATGGAAATGGGACGTGTATAAAGGAGGAAGAAAAGCGAAAATATACCGAGGGAATCGCACAAATCCCCAATGACGACAACAACCCGACGGAACAATATGAAGGTGCAAGGCGAGAGCAACGATGAGATCTGAGAGTAATTTAATAATCTGGAGTTTATGATGATGTCAAGGGCTCTGGCGCGTGGTGGCCGAGGCTGAGGAGGAAATTGTGCCATGGCGTGTCGACAGCGGGTTTCTGGACGGTCAGACTTGGTATGACTCAACACATAGGTGAAGTCTGAGGTGGTCTGGTCATTTAATTGGGACGAGGTATATCTGCACTACACGCTAGTTAACCTGATCCTGCCCGGCCCCACCCGTGCTTAAGCTTCAGTAGGAGTGCAACGGTAGTTATGTAACTTACCACGTTAATGAACAAAAAATAAAAATAAAGTCCTTGATTCTCAACATCGCTATCAATTCATCCTACATTCTAGAAAACAATGTGTCTCCGAGAGTATGCTTCAAAACCAAAGCTCGCAACCATCTAACTCGAGATCAATGTATTGAAATAAGAACATTAAGAAGACTTGGCTTGAGATTACAACTTACATCCGACGAACTTGGCTTCGCAAGATGGCAAGTGCAACTTGCGTGTGCTCGAGAGACTGAGAATCCTACACCTCGCAAAGGACCCTTACCAAAATTAAGCGCGGAACGAGTCGATGAGCTTGAGGCTTTCGTGCGGGAATCTCCGGAAAATCGTCAGATGTGCTTTTTGGAACTAGCGATGGGACCCTTCAG